AATTGCATATCATTTTTAAATGACATCATTTTACTAATCGCTTGTGTTTTATAGTAAATACTATAAAGAGGGCAAAGAATTGGTGTTGGATTTGGGCGCCTATACGGCGGGACTGGAGTACGCGACCGGTACTGAAGCTATCATTATGGGTAAGCCATCGAAGGAATACTATTCAGCGGCCATCGAATCGATGAATCTCACGCCTGAAGACGTTGTGATGATTGGCGATGATATCAACAGTGATATTGGAGGCGCTCAGAGAAACAGTAATGCATTTAACAATTATAGTTTGAAATGTAATGAATTTTAACGTTTTGTGGTCTCAATTGAAGACATGAGAGGACTACTGGTGAGGACCGGAAAGTATAGACCCAGTGATGAGAACCACCCGAAAGTAACGCCGGACGCAATCGTCAACAACTTGGCCGACGCTGTCGACCAAATACTGGCTCACAAGCACTCAAATGGCATTCAATGAATCATATTTTAAACATATAACTAATATATTAATTAAAGTTAATTTTTAAGTCTCTGTTTTTGATTGCAAACTACTTTTATTGACGATAAATAATAGAATAAAATTATATCTTATATTACGATAAATTTGATGTTATATTTTTGTAATCAAATTCAATTCCGAAACCGAGTTCTCGTTAATAATTAATTATCTATTTTGTGTAAAACAAGCAAAACATTAGAAACAAAAAGTAAGTAAAAAAGTCGTATGAATGCAAATACTGTGCCAGTGTTCGTAGGGATGGTCTGCTTTATATCTGTGATCATTTACGTTAACATTACACAACTAACACTAAACTATTAAAACTATTATTCAGACGTTGTAAATCAATATATATTTATATATACAATATATCAATATATATATATTACAAATTCATATGATACAAAAATTTAGTAACAATAGTAATTCAGTTTTAATGTTTAATAATTAAATTATTGTATTATTACAGATTGGTAATTTACATGTTATTTACTTTGGTAAATATTGAAACATGTAAATGTGTAACAACCCTACGTTAATGATTGCGAGAGCACTAAACTCCTTATATAATCCATTCCCACTTAAGCCTTGACTTTGAGTTATGTTTTATAATTCTTATCCACTTTTAATCAAGTGATGAACAGATAGTGAATAAACTAATTAATTCATGGATACGTTCCTCTCTGTTCTCTCCACTCCTTATTTACTTAATATTTAACTTTTGTTTTTTACCTCAAATATAGAGTAATAATTGTCTTTTATTTTTACTTGTGGTTTTAAATCATATGAAATTAATTACAATAAATTGCACTTTTAATCTGTTTTATATTTGAAAGGATTTATTGAAAGCTCTCCGCAAACAAATATAAACACAGCAAAGAATAAATGACAACATATTCACAGGATATGAACGATATATTGATTTTAGTGAATAAAAAACCAAATTTCCGTTTACAGAGAAAAAAAAAGCAAACAATTGTATTGTTTTTGGCACTGATTTACTGTTTATTTAAAAGTACTCGCTTTTGGATTGAGTGTAATGTTTGCCCAAAGTATGGTTTGGAGAGCTTTTGTCCGATTCTTCTTCTTATTCATCGTTTGACGAAATGGTTTAAATCAATAGTTTTATTGTTAAAAAGTAAACAAACAATGAAAAGACGGTTTAGGATTAGAAAATGTTTTAATCAATAGTAAAGCGTTCACTACAAAGGATTGATTGATTGCACAAATTATCTAAAAGTATTACATAAAGTCTTGTACTAAGTC